GGTCATTTAGTCCTTTAATAATTACGTGCCGCCTAGGAAAGTTCCTTCTTGCAGGTTTATGTAATTCTTCCACTAGCTGTACTTTACTCATTTCCTGAGACGTGATTGTAATAGTAGTTCCAAGCAAAATAACTGCCCTGCATTATACTTCGGACATTTGGCTTTGATTATGTCACCTTTACGTAGTGTTATCCCTATTAACTTCAACGGAGTATTGTACAAACGTTCGTTTATAATAATAGTAGTTCCATGGCGCGGTGACCAGGAACTCTTAATTACAACACATTCCGTTAGAGGAAATGCAAACGCTTGTGGTGTTCTACTCGAGGTGTGCCAACGTATGAACGGCGTATTCTCGGCGTGCGTTCCCAACAGATACAAGTATGACTCATACGTATAAGAAGACACCTCTTCAGCTTTTGATTGATTTAGAATGTGTTTACCGAACTTGTCAATACTCATCTTTGCTTCAGACTGATCGATTAAAGATACAATCTCACTATTTATTTATTAAGAACACATTACCAACTAAATTACTTTATTATTTCAGCATTCCGCAATTCATCTATGATGTATATGATTTCATTGTGATTGTTCGTGTTCCCTGCGGATTGAGATCCCAATAAAACCCGCAGCCAGTTAACTAATTTGTTGGGGTTGCTCCAGGGCATAAATTCTATTCGCTTGTTGTTTAATTGTAACATTTGAATACCTTTCCCTTTCCTTGTGCTAACAGAGGAAGTTTGAATTCTGGGAACTGATACACGGGTACTAAAAAGTGGTTTAATGATGCTGCTGTACTTTTTTCCGGTGCCTTGAATTTGTTCATTTGGATTGTAATGACGTCGTATTGCTTTAGTGCGGAGCAATATGTCACGATAGTTATTCTCATCTGCGGTTTTGTACCCAAGAGGTTGCCTCTTAAACAGTAGCTCGTATAGACCAGGAGTTCCGTTATATGCTACTGTGTCTCCTGTAGGAAGTTCGAGAACCAAATCTTGTTTGTCAAAGTCCAACTCGGAATCTCCAACGTAGAATTTATTGGCTTCCGGGATGTATCGTACACCATATCGATGATCAAATTCATTCTCTGTAGATCTGAACATCTGCTCCACATAAATCTTCGCCAATCCATCGTATTGATCTAAGAATTCCGTAAAAGATGGATGGTCGCCAGCCCGCGAGAGCTCAGCTCTTAATTCATCTAGAGTTGGCGTTTCATCATCGCGAGTGGTGTCGGCAATCACGCTCGTGTCTAAAAAGCTCGGTTGTTCCTCGTGTTCCGAAAAAGGGTTTTAGGGATTCGTTGAGCAGTAGACGCTTTTAGAGGGGTCCGAAGTAGGGTCTCTGTAGATGAGGTCACGTCGGCACTATCATGTTTAATATTTTCACGTTTAAAATTCTGAGGTGTAGCTTTAGTAAGCAGTTGCTTCAGCGGTTGAGTAATGGGTTTAAGATGTTGCTCGGATTTACGTTCTGCCAGCGCAAAATCACGCTTTAAGGAGATGTATTTATGTTTAACAGATTTTCTGGCATCAAGGAGGTCTTCTATTAAACGCTGTTTCATATTGACTGCATTTTTTCCATATGAAACATCGATATTTATATTAAAATGTAACAATCAAAACCTTTCCTATATCGACCCGAGTTCATGTCACTTTCTTTATCGATAACTAAGAATCCATATTTATCATTCCAGCACCTCACGCACATTTCCTTAAAGCGATCAAATGGCATAACGACATTCACGTGATCTTCGTGCACGTGTTTTAAATTAGTTTGATCCTGTTGAAACAACACAATTAGATTAGCATTGTCTCGAATTAACTGCTTGGGGATGACCGAATACGTTTGACATAAATAAAAACAATCGTTATTTTTATGTCTACCAAAACAGAAATGTTCTCTAATCTCGTTTTGCTTATGGCAAGCAACGTCATCGAAAATCATTACCGAGTTGCTACGTGCGAGGTTAGGTGGGACGATGTCTGCACTGTCAGTATATTCAAAATACCCAATTTCCTTAATTGGGGACAACAACTGACGCAGATATTGGTATTTCGGTTGCGGCAGCGATTTACAATACACGTATACATTTTCAAAGCGTAAACCGTTGGATTGTTCTAATAATGCAATCATAACATTCGTTTTACCACAGCCTGATCTACCTACAATGATGCCACGTTTGCAACCACCCTGTAACAGGCTACTGTGTTTTGAAACTCGTTTATCTCTCGAACACGCGTCGTAATTTTTTATAGGTAGTGCCGTTTCTTGCGGTTTGAAGCGTATGGAGGCCATTGCTCTACTGGAAGTGTATAAAACACTGAAACCTACTATATAAGTCCGTATATGCTTAGGAGCTCAGTAGTTGCCTGTCAACCAGCGAGCATGAACTTTCACTCTAACGTTAAGAAAAGAAGAATAACGTCTAAAACGGGGAAAGGTCTTATTAACAATTTAATAAATAACCTGCCAGTTGAATTGCATCTGCCCGGATACCAATTCTGCGGACCTGGCACTCGTCTAAGCAAGCGATTGGCTCGCGGTGATCGAGGTATAAATCCGTTAGACGAAGCGTGCAGAGATCACGATATAGCATATTCAAGGTCTAGCAATATTAGTGACCGCCACGAGGCCGATAAAAATTTACAAAAAGCTGCGTGGGAGAGGTTTCGTTCGAGAAACGCCACTTTTGGCGAAAAAGCAGCCGCCCTTACCGTTGCAGGCATTATGAAAGGTAAAAGAACGTTGGGCATGGGTACGCGACGACGTACCATCAAAAAAAGAAGAAGAAACACAGCAACAATTTCGTTTAACAAAGGCGTTCAACTAGCTAGAAAGTATACTGGTGGTAACGTTCACTACGATCTGAATACAACTGTTCGACGAGCTGTTAACGCGTTAAAGAAGAAAAAGGTCAAACCGCCAAAACAGCGCATTTTACCCATACCTAAGACTGGCGGATTCATACCGTTAATTCCATTGTTTGCTGCACTGGGAGCGGCAGGTTCGTTAGGAGGAGGAGCTGCTGCTATTGCTAGAGCAGTAAATGGCGCGAGGAATGCCGCCAAACAATTGGAGGAGAGCAAACGTCATAATGAAGTGATGGAGGCCGCCGCGATAGGAAAAGGTTTATACTTAAAACCGTACAAGACAGGGTTAGGCCTTTATTTAAACCCCTATCAAAAAAACTTCCAGTGAAGCTACCACGCCGTCCGTTAACAGACTTGGATTTGTCGAAATATGTCAACAAATTTAGGAATACAACATTTTAGAGGTATTTTTATGCGGAATACCTTACCGAAGAAAATAAATCAGAACGAATGCGGTATCGTAAACCTAGACGATGAAAATAACGACGGTACACATTGGACAGCGTATGTTAAGCTTGGCACACGTATTTCCTATTTTGATAGCATAGGACGGATAAAACCACCCCACGAGCTAGTGCGCTATTTTCGAAGCGATGGTAGCAGGAACATTATTAAATACAATTACGATCACATACAACTTCCTAATTCTTTTAATTGTGGACATTTAGTGCTACGATTTTTATACAATAACACACACTGATTGCGTTAGTTACATTATTATTGTCAAACGACAATGTCTTATACATTGACATTTACTGGTACGACATCTATTTTAAAAGCCTTCTTTCGACCGCCGCTTTTACTCAATGATGAGGATTATGTAATGGGGCTAACAAACTTTGAAACCTATAATAGTATACACAACGTTACACCAACAAATAATAAATTCAAATATGGTAATCAGATGATCACAATACCGCCAGGATGTTACGAGATATCCGACATAAATAACTACATAAATGCCCAATTAAACAGGACATCTGGAGATTATGTCGAACTTCAAGCTAACAATAACACTATGCAGTCGGTTATTAAAGCGAACCGGCCCATAGATTTTACTATAGAAAACTCGATAGGAGAACTGTTAGGGTTCGAGAAAAAAACTCTCAGTGCAGAAGAAACTCATACTTCCAGTAATACCATCAACATCTTAAAAGTTAATTCTTTGTTAGTGGAGTGTAGTATCACCACTGGAAACTTTAAAAATGGCGTACCAGCCCATACAATTCACCAGTTCTTTCCAAGTGTGCCAGCGGGGTACAAAATAATCGAACGACCTCTTACTGTAATTTATTTACCTATTAATGTTTCTTCGGTTACCAGTATAACCCTTAAAATACTTGATCAAGACGGCGACATTGTCAATTTTAACGGAGAAGTGATTACGATAGGGTTACACCTTAAAAAGGCGAATCATGGTTAAACGATATAATCAATGTGGGTGCAAGCACGATCACAATAAAAAGGCTCAAGTTGTTCGGTCGAAGATTAGTAAGGGTGCAACAGTCAAACCACTCACAGCTGTTAACAAAGCTTTTCTAAAATCTCTCGGCTTTACTACTTTACAATGAATATATTGGACGTAAATGAGAAAGTGCTTGTAGATAACAGCATAATAAATTATCAATATCATACTCACCAACCGTACACTACGAGATTTGGAAATAATGACGAAATTAGAATTCCAATACAAGAAGATATGTGCACTCTTCCTTCGGAAAGTCATCTCTACATTGAGGGAAAATTACTGCGAGAAGATGGAACGGCGTCACTTACCGCAAGATTTGTAAATAACGGTGTAGCATTCTTGTTTAGTGAAATTCGTTATGAAATAAACGGGATTGTAGTGGATTCCCTTACTAAAGCCGGATTATCATCGACAATGAAGGCTCTAGTTTCTTTAACCCCTAACGACAATACGCGATGTCAAATTTCCGGATGGTTTCCTACTGCTAATAGTACGGTTACCAGTCCAACGGGCCATTTTAACGTTTGTATTCCATTAAAGATGCTCTTGGGCTTTGCGGAAGACTACAGAAAAGTCATATTAAATATACGACAAGAACTTGTTCTAATCCGAGGTAATACAGATAATGACGCCGTAATATCTACAGCTGCCGATGAAGCTCTCAAAGTTGACATCGAGAAGATCTATTGGAAAGTACCTCACATTATTCCGGCGCTGGCCGAAGAATTAGCTTTGACCAAATACATTGACAAGAAATCGGAGACGCAGATAGCGTTTAGAAGTTGGGAAACGCACCTATACCCAGCTCTTCCACAAACTGATAAACATACGTGGGCGATAAAGACAGCAACTAGTTTAGAAACGCCCCGATATATTATCGTAGGTTTACAAACAGATCGGGATGGACAAGTTAGTAAAGATATGAGCAAATTTGATCACTGCGATATTAAAAATATTCGAGTCTTTCTCAATACAGAACGTTATCCTTACGATAATTTAAATATTAATTTCGGCAATAATCGATACGCAACTTTATACGACATGTACGCGAAGTTTCAATCTTCTTACTACGGCACAGAGAATCGACCATTACTTACACCGAAGCAATTTAAAGATTCGGCTCCTTTAATCGTAATTGATTGTTCAAACCAAAAGGAGGGTTTAAACTCGAAATCGGTGGTATTACGAATTGAATTTGAAACTAATGCGAACGTAGCGAATAATACTACAGCGTACTGCTTGATTTTACACGATCGGCTGTTTACGTACAACGCATTAACGAAAGCCGTAAGACAAATATAAAATCACCAACATAGGAAACGAATATACCACAACAAGAATGGTGGGCGTAGTTGATGTACAAAGTTTTAAAACTTCAAAAAAGTGTTTTTCGCCAAAAGAACTTGCAATTTATAATGGAAAACAGATGGCTTATTTTGTCTTCAAGCCTCCATTTCCTTGGAGCAGCTTAGATAACGAGTTTCAACGTCAAGCTAATTGGGTAACTCACAACCATCATGGAATTAAATGGGAAAGTGGCCATACACCGTCTCACCTATTTCCACTCATACTTCGTCATTTAATATCACCGTCAGATCACGTATACGTCAAAGGAAAGGAAAAGGCGGATATCATCCGAAAAGCTCTATCGCGGGACGTTATCGAGGTGGAAGAAGAACCAGCTCTTCCTTCATTAGAACCAAATTGCTATTATCATATACGATCACCTTGTCATTGTGCTTTATCTAACGTCTATTACATTTATAACACCTATGTAATGCAGTAATTTTTATTAAATAAACAAAATATATTTTTTTTACTTTATTTATTGTACAGTTGGGACATTTTGATATGATTACATAATATGGGTTCTAACACAGATTCCGTGTTTTCAATTCTACATTTAAAACGATATCGATCTAAAGCAGCAGTTTGCCATTGGCCTTTCCTTGCTTCTGTGTAAGCAAAGGACCAAGCTCTTATTACATGAACTGTATTTTTTGTTTCGTCAAAGCTAACACGTTTCATTTTACAAAGTCTTTCAGACCCAATACACACATTTGCGTTTTAAAACATTTATAACAACCGTTTCCATTAATAAACTTATAACATACACGTTGAGCAGTTTTGTATACTTTAGCTAGTCTTAAACGATACACTTTTCTAAATATGAAATGTCTGTTATAGGCATCCCTTTCTAACTCTACAAAATTATCCAGCAAGCAACTAACATTCATCTTGCTCTTCGTTATCTTCTTCTCCTTCGTTTTCTGCTTCATTTTCCTCGTCACTGGAATCTGAATTATCCCAATGCTTCAAATCCTCTGCGGCACCTTCCAATCCAGCTTCACAAAGTTTACGTCTCAGACAAGTTAAACAGTATTTGCCGTTCAGGAATAAATTACACAATTTAATACCGCGACTATATTTTTTAACAAGATCATTACACTCTTCTTCAGTACAAAAACGACCTAGTCCGTACACCGCTTCGTGTTCTGCGTCCTCCACTAAAGCTGACAATTCTTGTACTAAACGTTCCACGGCCGTGTGTGCGTCAACTGCTTTCGTCCAATTTTCGGCAGCGTAACACATCCACATTTTGTCAATTACACAAAAAATACTAAACTAACATGCTACACGAATGAGTATTACTTAAATACTTTTGCCACCTCCACATCAAGTTCCACTTTGCCAGGTAACGAGACCAATACTTCTAGCATGATAGCTGCATTATTACAGTTGATCGCCATTAAGGGTTCTAAAACACTCATGATGTTGTTTTTGAGATCGCCACCTATTTCTGCAACTCCGGTGATTAAGTTCCCATAGAAATGTCCAAATTCTTCAGACGACAAACACTTTAGCCGATACTTTATAACATCCAACTTATTCCACAATTCCACTACGCTTTCCCATCCTAAATACACCTCCGATGGTCCCTCATCGCGAATTTTGATAACCTTCCTTTCGTGAATTGTTATGAACTCAATCACCTTTGAATTTACCTTGATTGGCTGCCAAATGGGATCCGTTGAGTAAAAATAATGGGTAAGTACCCCCTGTTGATCCACAAATGCTGCCCATTCATTTTCATTAAACAAAATAGATTGATTTTTAACGCCACTAATTTTCACAATGGGCGAAAACAAGTGATTTGCAGATAGGGCAATCCATACATGCTTCGTTTGCGATTTATTTAAAGGATACACATGTTGAGCCACTAATTGCACGATTTGCTCTTCATTCTTCTTCTTATTTTCTGACACTTTCTTTTCTGCACTTTCCGCTTTCTCTTTAGCGCCTTGAATTAGTTTGGCAAGCTGATTCATTTTGCATTACTACTACTATTACACGTATTTTCAAACAAATATATACTTTAGGAGCGCTTGAAATCCCACCCGAGCTAAACGGCTCATTTGAGACCCCATCCGTTAAGAAAGGATCATTTGAGACCCCATCCGTTAAGGAAGGATCATTTGAGACCCCAATGGGTTGTAACTAGGTCATCGAGGATTCTCTGAGACCCCACTCGCATTTGAAAAGTAGGTCAGAGGATTCTCTGAGACCCCACTCGCAATTTAAAAGTAGGTCAGAGGATTCATTGAGTCCCCATAGGATTCTGATCAGGATCTGCGCATCCCCATCCATATAGAGCCCATATGCGCGGAACCCAAGGTCAAAGAGGATCTGCGCACCCCCATTCTTTCCCTATTACTCATCTTCAATTGAGAAGTCGCGTTCCTCTCTTTTGTAACATTATTTTTTCTACTCACAGACACAAACAACTTGAGGGGGTTCATCAAACTAATAAAAAAGTGTAAATGTCACCACCGGAAAGTGTCGTGAAAAAAACGGTAACCTTTTCGGAATCGCACATTATTTTCTCGGCAAACCACAAAGAATTTTGCTTAAGCCATTATGCATGAGATGCAAATTTAATTCCAAGAAGGTTCTTCAAAATTTGCATTGTTACGACAATCAAAAGACGATGAAGGAAAAGTCCCGAAATAAACACAGACGCAGGAAATTGTACACATTATTATTAAATTCCATACTTACGAAAAATGTGAAATGTTCTCTACCTGTGGGTTAGACAACAAACTATACCTACTGATAGTAACTTATTGTGCCTGCTCACGACACTCCAATTTAAAACATTATAAAGCAACAAAATCGAAGAATGCCCCCCTGCTCCTCGATCATTTAGAGGTAATTAATTCCATGTGTACGTGTAAATTATTATGTATTCAATTCAGTTAATGAATGCTAATTGAAAAGAAATTACCTTGTAGTACTGTTTGCGGGAAATTGAACTTAATTGATCTGTTGTTTCCTCTATTGCTGTATGGCCCAACTGGATGCTTGAAATGACCCGTACAAAAGACAAAAATGTGTAAATGTCCCGGGGAAATATTGAACAAAATAAATAAATCTGTCATTCTCTTATATGTCACAGGAAATGATTTCAAAAGGTTAAAACATACCTTTTACTTACTTTACTTTAAAATACAACACTCTTCACAGATCAGGACAAGCGAGAATGACATTCCGCAATTTTGTGGGACGTTGAAAAAGGCTGTGGGTTTTGATTGATGCCTCTAACGCGCGCATAATTCGTTGGGCTAAACCAATCCGATTGCTAATGGTTAAAGATTGTCGATCTAATTAATTAGCGCCATTTTGGGGGTGTACTGAAACTTAAGCATACGACATCCGTGAAAATACGCGTATTTTTTTATGAACTCTTATTAACATCCCCGGCGCGAACATATCTACCTAGATCTTTGACCTGGCGAAGATTGTAATCATTGCTTGAACGAACGGGAGCCGATTTAGTTTGGGACGAGTTGCACTTTTTTTACAATTGTCAACGCTGTTGCCCATGCGTCACACAGAAGCTGCAACTACCAAGAAAGCTGACTTTGCCTTAGGGTAATAATTCATTAAGTAGGAATCTCTGAATATCAACGACGTTTGGAAATACCCTGGTAAAGGATCCGAAGATTTTTTGATAGGTGTAGGGAAAAGGAAATTGAATCAATTCTTTTTTCCTGGGCGGGGAATGCAAATATTCCATATGCTCCCCCCCCCCCCCCAGAATCCACGTTACGACCCTGTCCAAAAAATTGTTATGACCCAACAGCGGCACTGCACTATACGCTTTACGAAGAATGGTCTTAACCGGGGGGTCTGGGGGGGGGGGGGGGGGTATGGAAAACCCCCCAGCCAAGCGTCCGAAGATTTAGATAGGTGTAGGCATAGAGTAAATATATTATTTACTCTATGGTGTAGGGAAAACAAAAATAAATCTCATTATTCTTCCAGGGGGGTATTCCCCCAGACCCCCCGGTGTTACATTATCCTTCAAACAGTTTATCCCTAAGGACTCCTGATAATAATTGTTTCTAAAGGACATCGAATCTTAATTTCCTCACTAAGATTCCATGCGTACGTGTAAATTATTATGTATTCAATTCAGTTAATTAATGCTAATTGAAAAGAAATTACCTTGCAGTACTGTTTGCGGGGAAATTGAACTTAATTGATCAATGGCTAATGTTGTTTCCTCTATTGTTGTATGACTCAGCTGGATGCCTGATATAACCCGCACAAAAGACAAAAATGTGTAAATGTTACGCAGAAATATTGAAGAAAATTAATTAATCTTCCATTCTCTTATCTCACAGGAAATGATTTCAAAAGGTCAAAAAACTAGATTTCAATACCAAGTTTTACTTGCTTTACTTTAAAATACAACACTTTTCACAGATCGGGATGAGCGAGAATGACATTACGCGATTTCGTGTGTTTTGATTGATGCCCCTAACGCGCGCATCATTGGTTGGGCTAAACGAATCAGATTGCTAATGGTTAAAGATGGCCGACTTAATTAATTAGCGCCATTTTGGGGTGTACTGAAATTTCCGTGAAAATGGATTTGCAATACGCGCATCTAATTATAACACTTATTAACATCGCCGGCAATTACCAAGAACGCTGACTTTGCCTTAGGGTAATAGTTCATCAAGTAGGACCCCCCCCCCCCCCCCCCACTCGTGTCAAGTTATGATAGGTGTAGGGAAAAGGAAATTGAATCAATCCTTTTTTACTGAGCGGAGATTCCATATATGCCATATACCCCCCCCCCTCCCAGAACCACGTTCTGACCCTATCCAAAAATTACTATGAGCACAGGGCACTATTCGGTTTGGTGAGGAATGTAGGACAGGGGGGTTTGGGGGGTATGGAATACCCCCAGCCACGCGCTCGAAGATTTTGATAGGTTTTGAGAGGACAGTGAATCACTTCTTTTATCCTGGGGGGTATTCCATACCCTCCAGACCCCCCGGTGTTACAGTATGTTTTAAACAGTTTATGCCTAAGCACCCCTCGTAATAATTGTTTCTAAAAGACCCCCCAGCCAAGCGCCTGAAGGTTTTGATATGTTTTGAGAGGACAGTGAATCACTTCTTTTATCCTGGGGGGTATTCCATACCCCTCAGACCCCCCAGTGTTACAGTATCTTTTAAACAGTTTATCCCTAAGGACTCCTCGTAATAATTGTTTCTAAAAGACCCCCCAGCCAAGTGCCCGAAGGTTTTGATAGGTGTTGAGAGGACAATGAATCACTTCTTTTATCCTGGGGGGCATTCCATACCCCCCAGATCCCCCGGTGTTACATTATCTTTTAAACAGTTTATGCCTAAGGACTCCTCGTAATAATTGTTTCTAAAGGACCCCCCAGCCAAGCGCCCAAAGGTTTTGAGAGGACAGTGAATCACTTCTTTTATCCTGGGGGGTATTCCATACCCCCCAGACCCCCCGGTGTTACATTATCTTTTAAACAGTTTATGCCTAAGGACCCCTCGTAATAATTGTTTCTAAAGGACCCCCCAGCCAAGCGCCTGAAGGTTTTGATAGGTTTTGAGAGGACAGTGAATCACTTCTTTTAGCCTGGGGGGTATTCCATACCCCCCCAGTGTTACAGTATCTTTTAAACAGTTGATCCCTAAGGACTCCTCGTAATAATTGTTTCTAAAAGACTCCCCAACCAAGTGCCCGAAGGTTTTGATAGGTGTTGAGAGGACAGTGAATCACTTCTTTTATCCTGGGGGGCATTCCATACCCCCCAGATCCCCCGGTGTTACATTATCTTTTAAATAGTTTATGCCTAAGGACTCCTCGTAATAATTGTTTCTAAAGGACCCCCCAGCCAAGCGCCCGAAGGTTTTGATAGGTTTTGAGAGGACAAGGAATCACTTCTTTTATACTGGGGGGTATTCCATACCCCCAGACTGTCCGGTGTTACATTATCCTTGAAACGGTTTATCCCTAAGGACCCCTCGTAATAATTGTTTCTAAAGGATATCGAATTTTGCTTTCCTGGCGAGGATGCCATAAACCTGGTGGATGGAATCCCCCCCCCCCTCCCCCAGCAAAGCGTCCGAAGATTTTGATAGGTGTTAGGAAGAACAAAAATGGATCTTTTCTTTTATTCTAGGGGTATTCCATATCCCCCCCCCCCGGTGTTACATTATCCTTGAAACCGTTTATCCCTAAGGACTCCTCGTAATAATTGTTCCTGAAGGACATCGAATCTTGCTTTCTTCACGAAGATGCCATAATCCAATATCCATCGACTCCTGATGGGGTTAAGTTCGATGTTCCCTTTCCGACAATTGTAGTGTAAGTGCTATGGGCGCAGGGCACTACACGTTTTGGGGAAGAAGCCTTCAAAGGTTTCGATTAGTGCAAGGAGAACGACTTCTGTCTTCCCGGGGGGTATTGCTTACTATTGACAGTAGATGTAGAAATTCTACATCAGTAGTTCATTGCACTATATAATTGTTTTATCGTTAGCAAGTTGAGCAATTGTTTATAGCCATTAACGATTTCCAAAGCAAACTTACCTTGAGCGCGGTCAAATGCCATTGTGATTTCTGATGTGTGTTTGTTCAAAAGTCCGTAATTTGTTATGGTAATTGGTTGTTTATTATTGCCAAAGATGCATCGAGTTTTTACAATTTTAAATTGTGATGTCAACGGTCACCCACTCGCCTTCCACTTCAGTATTGTTGAATAACTAAACCACTGGTAAAAAAAAACGTATTTAATTCAAAGCGAAAGTAGACAAATTGTTCGAATTTGATGCGACTGTAGCCTAATACACCCCTCACCTCTACCTTCAATTGAATTAAATTTTTAGTGCAGCAGTCTCTACTTAAATCTAATTAATACTTTAAATTAATCTCTTGAAGATCACTTTGGCTGTCGCTTCTGCTCTTGGAACGTCTATTTCGGGGCGGCGGCATCGGCGCCCCAGACTCCTCAGTCTTGTTTTCGCCCCGCTGCTTGATCCAACTCTTGATCTTACCACCAACTCGGTAGTAGTGAAAGTACAAAAGGAAGAAGATTAAAAATACTACTAAAAAAGAAACGATGGAGATGAGGATCGCCGATAGAGGGCTGTACGATTCGTCGGAGCTGGGCGGAAGGGCCGTCGAGGTGACGACGACTTCTGGCTCGATCGTGGTCGTTTCGGGTTGTTCGACGAATCCCTTGCCGATCGTGATGTCGGCGCAGGCGCGGAACTCCTCCTGGGGACCGCAGCCGACCTGCTCGGTTCCGTTGGGGCACGCGCCCCAGTTGTTGCCTGAAGGGGTTGGTTTTAGAAGCGGGGAGTTGAGAGGGTGGGTTACGTACCGGCGATGTACCTCCACTGTAGCAGGCAGTGGCTGCAGGAGAGTTTCGGTAACCTGTACTTCATCTCGTAGACTCTGCTACCGTCTCTGGGGTAGAAACGAATGTCGCTCATCGCCAAGCCGTCTTGGGGGCGAAGAGTCTTCAGAATGTGCTTGTCTAGGCACTCTTGGGACGCGTTTTTGTAATCGGGGCAAACTGAGAATGTGAAATATCCCATGTGGCTCGCCGTCAGTTCCACTCGCAGGTTGATGGCGCTACCGACGTTGTACTGTCTAACTATGACACCCTGTCCGTAGGTGCCGCCGTACTCGTGGGCCCGAGGAAGCCTGCAGATTGAAAGATATGGTCGTCGGGAAAATGGGGCGCTTTTGGTACTTACTTCGAATCCCAGGCGTCCCCGCAGACTCCGCATTTTCCGCCGTTCGCCTGCCATTGCCTCGTGAAACCGCCGCAAAACAGCTCGTGGTCGTTGTAATTGTGCGGGGTGTCGAAACCGTACCTCCACGCCGACGCCCGGCTCGGCGGCTCGATTAACCTTCCATGACCGTTCACATTTCCAAGGTGCGCGATCAGGACCAGGACTAGGGAGGTCTGTATCATCCTGAAGCACAAAACCGGGTGAGATCCGACTTCCGCGCGTTACGTAAAAATTAATTGCGGCAGTAATTAGAGTAGGTAATTAAATCGATGTGGAGGAATTCGAAGGTCGGTGACTTTTACACTCACTTTATCAGAATTCGGGTAACATACTACGGATGACTTATTTCCGTTCACTAGACCGATTGACTCACAACTTTCTATCTAAATGGGGCGATTTGTAAATAATGAAACGGCGCCGTGGGAACGCGGCCTAATTAATAATTAAACAGCCTTACCTAAATGTAAAGGGTCCATGCACCAGAAACCTTCCTCGCGACAAACAGCTCCGATTTAAACTGCTTGATATTCAGGCAGTTACTGGGTAAGGTCAGTCGGAACGCACTAGCCTACATCTTTGTGTGCATGAAAGTGACACCGTTATATTGTTTATAACAATTTTGCTTTGACGCGGTTTACTTCTTATTTAAGTCACACGGCAAAATCTCGATTTTCGGGTTTTGCAACGGAACACGCCCGACGTGTAGGAAGACCAAAGAACGTTTGAAATTTCACCCACGATACTCGACCATTAGGTTAATTAACCTGGGAGTTTTCTCAATCGTTGTATGTTAATATTTGCCCAGGCCATAAAGTACCTAGTTAAATATTCCCAGCGCATACAAAGCGCCCTTTCTTGGAGTGAAAATTATCCGAGGACGTCATGCATTTTCAGTTGAATTTTAATAAACCAAACCGCAAAGTAAACAAATATTTGTCACGAATCCTTTCACTAGTGGAATAGTGCTCTAATTCCTACATTCTGTTACACAAATAGGTAGTACAAGTACACGTGACTGTGCCCCCTCCTTGAAGTTCTTCTTTTTGGGAAATATTAAGACAAAATGGCCATCAGATATAACAATATATGCAGTATACCCGACCTACATCATGTACAAACTGAATAGATGAAGAAATCCCATTTTAAATGTGAAATGTTGTTCTTTATCTGTTCCACAAAATCCAGTGGAACAGAATTCAGTTGTGCCAGTAATTTGTGACGATTTTTTTTGTCGTTTGATATTATCGATCTGGATTTCGCTTGCTCCGTGCTTTCATTTGAATCCTTACGCCATCTAGGTCACTTCTTTGTAATTCACTAGTTTCATTTAGTTTTCTTGTGATAGATTTCTTTGAATCGTTCTTTTGTCGTCGTTAGAGGTCGCGCAGAACTCTCTTTAATTTCTCCGACGCGCGCTCTCCTCGTACAAGACGCATTCTCGATTATTACTTGCAAGACGATACACACCAATGTTTACTTGACAATTCTGGGGGATATACTGGCGCTGGGTTAAATTGAGTGTGGTCGTGATGTTCTGTTAAAACACCCTGTATGTATATTTTTTTAAATATTGGTGCAATGTGAATCCCAAGGTTTTTTTTACCTCTACTCTGCATGAAAAAATGTTTTCGTGTTATTCTGTTGAAACATTTTTTCTTTCTACCTATATTTTTGAAAACACCCTGTATGTATTTTTTTTTTAACTATTGATGCAATGCGAATTATACAATGTTTTCTTTTCCACTCTTTTTGAAAGATAGGAAGGTTGTGATCAAGAGCAACAATCATTGGGAGACACTGTATTTTTCTGCAATGTGAATGATGCAGGCTTTTTCTTATCCACTCTGTATTAAAAAAGATATTGTGATTATCAAAGATTCGATGCATATTTTGATAAGTGAGAAGCAATCATTTTTAAATGCCCTGTATGTCATATTTTCTCAATTATTGATCCAAATCATATTCTTATCCATTCTGTATTAATAACATATGTTTTTAACTATTGATGCAATGTGAATGATACAATTGTTTCTTGTTTACTCGGTATTAAAAATATAGCTGTGATTTTGGGTGGGAAAACTTCATTTCGCCGCATATTTTTGAAATGTGGGAAGCTTGTGAGCAACAATCATTTGGACCCGCTCCGTATGTTATATGTTTTCATTGATATATAAATCATACTATTTTTCTTGTCCACTCTGTATATAAAAAGTACTGGTGTGATATTATATTGAGAAACTTTTTTAAAAAGTTGTGATCAATAGAAACAATAATTTTGAAACACCCTATATGTTATATTTTTTAGCAATATAGATACAACCTGATTAACGATTTTTTTGTACGCCCCGTATTAAAAAAATATTGCTGTGGTGACGCATATTTTGATATGTGCGAAGCAACAATCATTTTTAAATACTCTGTATGACAAAGTTTTGATCCAATGTGAATGATACGATTTTTTCTTGTCCATCCTGTATATAAAAAATGGTGTGATATATTGAAAAAGTTCATTTTACGTATATTTTCAGAAGTTGGAAGCTTGTGATCAAAAGAAACAATAATTTCGAAATTCCCTACATGTTTTTCTTTCTAATATTGATCCAACCTGAATCACGATTTTTTTGCACGCTCTGTATTAAAGAAGTATTTCTGTGGGAAGCAACAATTATTTTTAAATGCGCTGTATGTCATATTTTTGCAACTATTGATCCAGTGTGAATCATACAATTTTTTATTGTCCACTCTGTCTTAAAAATATTGTCGTGATATTCTGTTGAAAAATTTATTAATCCCACCTCTAATTGATATGTAAATCGTACTATATTTCTTGTCCACCCTGTATATAAACATTATTGGTGCGATTATATTGAAAAACTTGGAAGCTTGTGATCAATAGAAACAATAATTTTGAAACACCCTATATGTTATATTTTTTTCTAATGAGGACGACCACAATCATACGATTTCTTCTTGTACGCCCCCTATTAAAAAAAGCATTACTGTGATACCATTTCGAAAAACTGTATTGCGCGCATAGTGGGAAGCTTGGTATCAAGAGAACAATTATTTCGAAACTCCTTGTAAGTATTTTTGTTTAATTATTAATACAATGTATACTATGTATTAAAAAATATATTTCTGATTTTGGGTGGAAAACTGCATTTCGACCCATATTTTTGAACAGTGAAGAACAGCTTGTGATCAAGAGCAACAATCATTCGGAAACGCCCTGTACGTCATATGTTTTTCAATTATTAACCCAACCGCGATATGATATGTAAATCATACTATTTTTCTTATTCACTCTATATATAACAAATATTGATGTGATATTATATTGAAAAACTCTTCATTTTACGCATATTTTTGAAAAGTTGGAAGCTTGTGGTCAATAGAAACAACAATTTTGAAACGCCCTATATGTTATATTTTTTCCAATTAGTATTTATCCAACCTGAATCATACAATTTTTTTGTCGCCCTGTATTAAAAAAATATTGCTGTGATATCCTCCCAAAAAAACTCTTCATTTCGCGCATATTTTTGAAAAGTGGGAAGCTTGTGATCAATCGTTGGAAACTCCCTGTATTTTTTTAAATTGATGATGCATTGTGGATCATACGATCTTTTGTCCACTCAAGGTATGTAAATAATATGATCTTTTATTAACCACCCTGTATATGTTGAAGTTGAAGTTTTCTCTCGTTTTTCTACTTCTAAGCTTCGCTGACACTATTTGCGGATTTATCTTACAACCCCGTTTTACGGTATGTAATAATTACGCATTCACTTTTACTTTGAATAATCATTTTTATGCTTTTTTTCCTCTTACTTCATACTTTTGATTTTCTATTTACTTCATTATTATCTACCGGAGCATTCGACATCGATGTTTCGCCATTTAGAGATTAGAAAGACACGTGCAGATATTTCTACATTACCGGCAGAACTACCCGCCATGTTAAGGGAAACCAAACTGCTGAGTTTACCTGGTGTAACGCTTCTAGTGGTTACAGGCTACCTCTTCGTAACCCAAGGACGTCTAAAATCTCTCTTTTAAACCACCTCCTGTTCGCCAAGACAAACTGTGTATGGTTGGTTTAATTAAATAAATATTTACAGTATACAGAAAACTAACTAAAAATTGTTAAATGCGACCCAATTGGAAACGTCAAAACGGGCCCTTGACATTCCTTTGTAGTTTTATTTATCTTTAATTTAACCTGGTTAGCATCCAGTATCAAAAACCGGCAGGTAGTTTCAAAGACAATTATTTCTTTTATAATTTAACTTTGAACGGGATCAATACAAATCAACTAAATTATCCAGGGATTGTTCCGGGCGAGCGCGAATGTACATTCACAGCGTCTACAGAAATTTTACAACAGGTAAAGCTTAATTATGAGCACGGCTGTACAGCCTTACACACTTAATTCACGGACGGTAACTGAGGAAGAGCGCGGTAATACAGTCGACACCTCTAATTCAGGGACAGGTAACTGGAGAGGGTGAGAGCGTTGTTACAACCGTCGACTGAGTATTAATTACAATTCTCAGTATACAATTAGCCTCAGTGTCAGACGTTACATTACTATACGCGATATTTTGTGCAGCGCCTCTTGTTTGTTGTGTTTTTGTCTGTTTACAGATTTACAGTACGCGCCCTTCTTGAGCTCAACAAGGCCTTTGCGACCTGTACTTCAAAAGGTAAATTTTGTTATTTTCGTCGATTTCCCCTACTTTAACGTTTGATTACATATTGGTTTTCGATACCATCGAATTGTAATTGCTACATTTGCTTGAGATTCACTTAAAGATTATAGCTCCGTTGTTTTTGCGAAAGCCTATTTTCTCCGACTACGTGTTTTAACCGCTTTTTTTCTAAAATTAGTTTAATTCAATTTAAATATTGACATAGGTAGCAGACCTTTATATTACAGCATCTTATTTGTAATATTATTGAGAATCACCATCGAGTGTGACGTCAACTATTGTTTATGCTTTGTCCTTTACAAGTGTTTTTTCCCTTTTAGCTCTCCAGACCAGAACAAGGATCTCTTAGTCTACCTTGTTTCCCCTTTTTGGTAAGTATTTTCTCCTCTCTCGTCATTTACTGAAGACTAAGTGCCGCCTATTCAGATTACTATTTTTCCCTTTTACTTTATTTTTGCTTGTAGTTAAGAACCCCCAATATTCACCCCGACCCACCTCTACTATGGGTGAGTTTACAGTGTGCTTATTTAATTATATATATATATATATATATTTAAAGTTCAAAGGGTCCAATCTTGGAACTGTTTGAAATTATGGATTCTACGGGCCAAACTCTATAAGAAAATGTTTTTTCACGATCGATCTCAGACAATTTTTTTTTCCGGCCTCAAAAAAGGCAGTGTATTACCTTCCTTTTTTACCAAAAATCGACTGCTCCAAAATTTCTCGGGAAAACACTTTTTCTCACTAATTTTGGTGCGTAGAATCCAAAACGATTTCGATCAGACCTCTCAATCAAAAGTTATGGACTAAATACAAATTTCGACTCTAGTACATGTAGACGGAGATTTCCTGTCTACTTTTAAATGAATATCACTGTAGATATGTTTCCTTTATCGTTAATTTTGTTAAAAGCGGCGAGAGTTCAACACCACCCAGCAAAAGAAAGACTTAATTGATAACCTTTTCCTTATTTCAGTCTGCCTTTACTGGGGTAAAGTAACTTTGAGAGGTTCCACCCTGTATGTACAGCTTACGGCGATGCACACAATTTTTTTAGGAGGGGAAACGCTACCCGCGCCATCTAGAGAGCATATGAACGTTAGTTACGTTTGGCATCTTGTCTTTAATGGCGGTCGCGAACGCGTCTCTCGCTAAGTGTTTGTTGTTATTTTTGTGTTATTTAATGCAGGTAGTAATTTTTGGATTGTTTTGATGTGTGTATACGTATTGACTTTACAATTTCAGTGTTTTATTTTACGTTCCTTCCCTAGTGTAGGTACTTCAGGCAATAACGTTGTTTACAGCTAACGTCAGGGGGCCCTACCTTACATGTTTGATCACCTGCCTGCCCTTTCAAATTTAAGTGGGATCTTTTTTAGTTTTGGAGGGAATAGTCAGGTGGCCACTTTTATACGTTGCCGGGTTGACTTTATTTTCTTGTTCTTGAAGTGTAAAGATAGCGTAGAACCTGGAGGTTAAGTATACTACAACTTAGTCTCCAAATGGTTCCACATACATCTTCCTTTAGTATAATGAATTTTTACAAGGCGTACTCTTCGTTGGAACCTTTTAACGTAATTTCAATTGAAATTGCGAAATTACCTCGCACGCAGTCGTTAGACAAATAACATCATAAAATTATCGTTTTTATTTTTAAAATAATCCAAATAATCTGGTCGCCGAACAGGTTTGCGATAAACAGGGGCACTTAATTCAAGACAATCACTGATATATTCAGAATAAAAAATTTACACATGGGATAAAATTAAACAAACAAAATTACGCAATTATAAACAATTCTAAAATGGAAAATAACACTAAGACAAATTCAAATGAAATAAACCAATTCTGGGCCTTATTTGTAAATAAAGCGTTTTCGCAAAACGACACCAGGAGAAGACGAAAAGAATGATCGAAATTGGTGTAATGTAGACTAAACAATTGTGTAAGAGTCGATGAACATTGCAGGAAGATTATGTTAAAAGCGGAGGGAGTTCAAAATCACCCAGCACAGAAGGACTTTTCTCTATATAAACCTCAGCCGCTTACTAGGGGGTATTTCAAACCCCCCAGAATCACCCCACCATGGGATGCACCTTGTCGTGGTGGTGGGGCTTAGTAGTCACAATTTTCTGTGGCGAAGCTAAGCATCCCAGGCGGTTGATTGCAGACTCCATGAGGTCTGATCCGTGCTAGTACCCGATTCCAGTTAATCTGGTTCAAAGGATGCCGTATCATTCAAATGCTTCGTGGAGTAGAAAAATTCTCGACGTAACATATTGACATGAGTACGCATTTACAAACAATTCTAAAATAGAAAAACAATATTAAGACACAAATTCAAATGAACTAAACAAATTATGTGCATATTCGTAAATAACCCCTTCCCCCGGTCTACTTTATTAAATTGAAATATTTCACATATGCAGGGTGTCCCGTTATTGTTTTCCGTGTTTAAACCACAGCTTATACAACAATATATAGGCACTGTGACATTTATTAAAAAGTAGACATAGGGATTTTGTATTGTTTTTCCCCATGTCTACTTTTAAAAGACAAAATATCTTCTGAAGGGCACCTAATTTAATCCAAAATCTGCCTGTCATATTATTTAGTTTGAATATTGTTGCTTTGACTTAGCAGAAAATCTCTTACGCTCCTTAAACTGTTACCGTCACTACCACTTGGCAATATCAACTTTTTCTTCAGTTGAATACAGAAGCCAAATCAACAATATTCAAATTAATTAATGTGACAGCCAGACCTTTATTTGTTGCATGAAATTCGGCGCCCTTCAAAAGAGATTTGGGGGGGGGGGGGGTGGAACACCCCCACGAGCGAAAGAGTCGATGACCATTTAGGAAAAATTATGAAAAGCGGCGGGAGTTCAAAACCACTCAGCACTTGATAACCTTTTCCCTATAAACCCCCGTCTGCCGTTTACTGGGCGGATATTCCAAACCCCCATCCCCCACCCACGATAACACCTTCTTTCACATACTGTTTAGGCTTCAGGACTCGCTTGACAGTTAGGTAAGCATTGAGAGTTCGAAGGGGAATTTTGAGAAACCGTAACCGAATTTTACTTCCTGTGAGTATATCTACACTCTTCGGTAAAATCTTTTACAAACAGTTTTGGTTTCAGGACTCGAATGACAGTTGTTAGTGTAAGCGTTGTCAGATCCTTTTCTCCAAGTGCAAAGGACGTAGCACCTCCCAGCACAACCGATAACGCAGGATACCGCGTCCGCGGACATTAGATACATTCTGGACTGGAGGAGGTCCGGCGACTTAACAATGTATTTCATGTATTTGACGACTTTGAAATGTTTCACAGTTTGGGATTTTGGCCATTGGAGAGTGTGAGGTTAGTATTACCACACTCGTGTTTATTTTGCCGCAGTTTGTTGGCGCGTATATAAACAACAAAACAAAAGCACATGTTAAACTTTAATAAATTAGTTGATTTTATAAATCATGAATCATGTACAAAAATCACATGTACTGGACTGGAGCCAAAAGGTGGATACAATCAAAAACCGAGAGGAAAAACGAACGATGGCACTACGCTTAACCGCTTAGCATTTTCAATTTCGCTTTTAAAAGAGTTCGTAATTCCTTAACCGCCGTCGTGTGGCTATTAACAATGTTCTCTATCACGCTATTTTGGCCGTTCGCACTTAGATTAAGTAACGCTAACCGATCGGACAAGTCGAATTCGTCCGGCAATGTCCAATTTTCTAAACAAGAGTCAATCGTATTTAATTCGTTCTTTATAACACTAGCTAAATCGTTTAAAACGCACTTGGTCGACGCGTCCATCTTCTTCTTCGACCTCTTGTTCTGCGGCGGCTTCGCCAGATCGTTGCACAGCAAGCAGATCGTCGCCGACAAGCTGATTATCTGAAAAGAAAAAAAACTCCCCAAGTCAAAAAACCCACCAGGAAAAATGATTAGGTAGGCACACTAACCTCAACTGCATTAACCACAGTTTCTAAAACAGATCTCCTCTTCCAATAGCAGTCGCCCGACCGCCTCTGCTGTCCGACGAGGTCGACGACCACGCCCGTTAAACGCTTAAAATTACTTTGTACATCGGTAACGATCGCGCCGCAATTCGCGGTATCCTCGACGGAAATGTTGACGAAGAGATTGAAAAGCTGCCCGAGTATCTCGAAGTATCTGCAGTCCAAGTGCGAGTGCAGTCTCGACGGTAGCGGCGAGGTGACTAAGTTCTGTTTAATAGGAACACTTTTGGTTGTAGAAATTTTGTGATAAATATCGGCCCAGTCCTTTTGGACGCCCCTGAGCGTGTCCACGCAGGAATTTCGCGCGGAATCGTGCGATTTTATTATGTTCACGCTGGCGGAGAGGGCCCACAAGATGTGAGTGCGTAATTTTAAGAAGTGAACGTTTTGAATGAATAGGTCTTTGATTTCCCGAGCGTCCTCCGGTGTACTCTCAATGCGTTCCGGGTCCCAAGAGATGTACACGCTCAAGTCGTGATTGTCCCTGAAAGAGGAGACGATTATTCAATGCGCTACTAGGGTTACAATAATCACCTCAGTTTTTCCCATTCAATGTTATTATCTTTCGGAAGAATATTTGCGTTGTATAAACTATCGATGGACGTGCACTGTACGATATTTAAAATAATCCTGTCGACAGCGACCATGGTGTAATGAAAGCTGTTATTCAATTTTTCCCGAAAATCCATGAAATCGTTCAGCTTAATAAACGACCCGTACTTGTAACAAAAGGTTAAGTGATCGGAACTCTGCAACGAACGCAATTATCAAACACTTCACGCTCGCCGATACCTTACATCTTTGTAATTCGACGAGAAGAATTTCAGCGTAGAATCCAATAAGGTGGCGGTAAGCGTCAGTAGACCGGTCGTCGGTAGCCGAGCGCAATGGCTGTAGCCTAACGAATCCATTTGTAAATGCTTTAAATCTAAGGTTTCGTACACCTGATGCGCGCCAATACCAGCACCTGAAACCGGTCGTAGTTCTCAGATATCGGCGCCTGCCGAACACTCACCGATAGTGTGAAACAATCGAAGCGATAACAACTTTGCGTTGAAAGAACAAGGGCTCTTCATAAGCAGATTTTCTAAGAGAACCAACGCGGTTATGATCGGTTTAGAGCTTTGCGTCGATTCGGAGAGGTCGTACAGGATGTGCGCCGCTAAAATCGCGTACGGATCGGACGGGCCCTGATCGGTGTATAGCAAGTTAAGTCCGTACGTCTGGTACCCGTGCTGATAGTGGAGGGAGAATGCGGTGACTAATGCCGCCAAGTGATCCGAGGAGAGGTTACGGTGATTGCTGCACAGCCTTGAGAGTTGTAGTGAGCAGAGGTGTCGCTGCATTTGCTGTTCCTGAAATATAGAGGACAAACTATCATCTGATACTATCAGACACCCCCAAGAGCATTTCATGCCCCACAGACTCCTGTGGTTACGTTGGATAATAGTCCCTTTCCAAAAATTATAGTGGAACTATACGTTTTGGGAAAAAATGTAAAACTGGGGGGGGGGGGGGCAATTGGTAGATTATGATCTCCTGACAAAGACAACCGTTTAAAAAACGCTTGTGTCGGGGAGTATAGCAATACACACTGTGAACTTGCTGAAAGACCGCTTTTACACGGGGCCCGGATACCGGCATCTCGGATACACCTTAAACATTGTGTGGAAAATTTCGAGATCAAAGTTGGTGCGAGGAGAGCTCACCGAGACCAGAATTAGGTTAAGCTTTCGTAAAGCTATCAAATCATAGGGAGGAGAGGCGAGGTTTAGGCCTCGTTCTCACAAACGGGGCGGTGCAACTACCAATGCCGAAGATCTTACGGGCAGCAAAAGCACCAAACTTCAGTTGTTCATAACCGAATGAGAGGAGGAACAACTGCCAAAATTAAATGTACGTCGCTAAGCTTCTGGTAAGATATCGGTGCTTTATTACCGTTTGCGGAACACTAGTTGAGCTAATGCCGACATCCTTGATGAGCCTATTCGCCAACTCGATTCTCCTTTCGCCGTCCAACAACGCGAGATAAATCCTCAAGTCGGAAACGCAACACGACCTGTGACCGAACTTTCGAAAGTACTCGATAAATAGCTCCATTACGTCGCCGAGCAAATCGCCACTGTCGATCCCCTGCCGAATAAGGTTTGAGCAAAGTTCGAACCGCGCGAGATAGGGACCTCTCAGCAGGTATCCGTTATCGTCGCCGTTCTCGACCAGCCGGCAAATAAACTCGTGCGCCTTCTCGGGCGTATCGTCGACGTATTCCAGCTCGCACTCGCCGTTCGCGTGGTTCTCCTCGCGACGCTCCTCGTCGACGACGTCGGCCTTCATCAGTTCGAAAACCGACGCGATGTACTCTTTCCATATATCCCACCTGTCCATGCTAAATGGAAAAAAAAGAGTTAAAAGCTCAGCCGGAGTATTATTCTGGGGTCTGCAATCGGCTCAACATCCCAAATACAATTTTCTCGACCCCTTCCAACAGTTTTTTTAACTTGCTACATACTTTTCGAATTTCTGTGCGTTTTTACACTTTAAAATCACACTTAAAAAAATAAAAGTGTTTTCGTTGTTGAGTTTTTGTGCACACGTGGGTGTTTAGTTTTCATGCTAAGAGAAAACCACACCCAAGTACTTAAGCCCATTATAAGTTGACAATAAGTCAACTTAACTTTTCTGATCCCCCCCCCCCCTCCTTTATTTTAAGCGTGCAATATTAATTTTTTATATTTTGGAGAGATTTCACACAGTCAGACGGGCGATAAGTAATTGTCAATTTTTTGGGGGATACTTAGAGCCTATGCGATGTATGTTAGAATGTGAAACCTTTTTTCTAAGTGCGCTGTGTACATGTTTTTATATTTTGGAGGTAGATTTCACCCGGTCAGATGGGTAGGAAGCGATTGTCAATTTTTTGGGGGATACTTAGGGACACTGCGATGCATGTTAGAATGTGAAACCTTTTCTCTAAGTGTCCTATACACATTTTTTTATACTTTGGGGGTAGATTTCACCCTGTCAGACGGGCGGTAAGTGATTGTCAATTTTTTGGGCATACTTAGAGCCAATGCGATGTATGTTAGACTGTGAAACACTTTCTCTAAGTGCGCTATATACATGTTTTTATATTTTAGGGGTAGATTTCACCCGGTCAGATGGGCAAGAAGTGATTGTCAATTTTTTTGGGGATACTTAGGGACACTGCGATGCATGTTAGAATGTGAAACTTTTTCTCTAAGTGTCCTATACACATTTTTTTATACTTTGGGGGTAGATTTCACCCTGTCAGACGGGCGCTAACTGATTGTCAATTTTTTGGGCATACTTAGGGCCAATGCCATGTATGTTAGAATGTGAAACCTTTTCCCTAAGTGCGCTATATACATATTTTTATATTTTAGGGGTAGATTTCACCCGGTCAGATGGGTAGGAAGCGATTGTCAATTTTTTTGGGGATACTTAGAGACACTGCGATGCATGTTAGAATGTGAAACCTTTTCTCAAGTGTCCTATACACATTTTTTTATACTTTGGGGGTAGATTTCACCCTGTCAGACGGGCGGTAACTGATTGTCAATTTTTTGGTCATACTTAGGGCCAATGCGATGTATGTTAGACTGTGAAACACTTTCTCTAAGTGCGCTATATACAGGTTTTTATATTTTGGGGGTAGATTTCACCCTGTCAGACGGGCGGTAAGTGATTGTCAATTTTTTGGGCATACTTAGGGCCAATGCGATGTATGTTAGACTGTGAAACACTTTCTCTAAGTGCGCTATATACATGTTTTTATATTTTAGGAGTAGATTTCACCCGGTCAGATGGGCAAGACGTGATTGTCAATTTTTTTGGGGATACTTAGGAACACTGTGATGCATGTTAGAATATGAAACCTTTTCTCATGTAAATTTTTAGCTTGAAAGGCTTCTGTAATCCTACTGGATAAGATATTCCGCCCTACCAGTAAGGCCACTGCAGACCCCAGAAATCGACATTAACGATGCATACCTTTCTATCAGTATCCCCTTACAGATTAAATTAACATCGGACCACTTTCTCAACTTGGTCAAATACGGTAACTTGTAGAGGTTGACGGAACTACACACTAACTTGTCGCCGAGCGGCCCGTTGAGCACCTGCAATGCTTCCTCCAGTTTATCTTGCAACTCGAGAATCATCAGGTAGAGTTGCACTTCCTGTTCGGCGTCGAGCTTACTCTCCGCAATCAATTTATCGATCATTCTCTCGGCCAAGCTGAGCAGAACGCCGCGCTTGGTCGAATCGAACTCGCCCGAACCTCGAGTCGCCTGCTGCACGACGCTCATCACCGCCCAGCAGTAGTAAGGATTTTTCGGTTTCAGTTTGTACAAATTCAGCGCCGACTGCTGTTGCAATTTAAAGTCGCCGATTCGCACGTAGCTCATGAAGAGTTGCGTGTGAAATTCTTCGTTCGCGGGATCCAATTTGATCGCGTTCTCGTACAAAGTGCAGATTTGCTCTTCTACAAGCAAAGTTTACGATTAAGGCTCTTGTTTAAATAAGGACAGAAAAGAGAACTTACGTTGCTGCAGCTCGCGGTAGCACAAAGTCATTGCTTGCAGGGTGGCATCGTCACCTGGACTGTCTTCGATGAGCGAGTCTAGAATCGACACGCACTCCGCCTCCCGGCCCATACGTAAGATCGAGAGTGCCTTAAGCGCCTTCGCGCAAAGTAAGTTCGGTGTCTTTTTGAGCACTTTGTCGCATTCTTGAAGGGCCTTCTTATTATTGCCGCTATCTAGCCACTCTGAAAGAGACATAACCTATAAGTAAATGGGGGGGTACGTAAAGCGAAGATAAGTTTACGTACCGTAAATGGGGCGCAGTCTTCTCTCGACCACCGAATTATCTTGCACGTGCACCTTTGAGGCCATGGTTTTGTAAATATTACAAAAAATGTAAGGAAATCATAACATAAAATTGTTCCTAATTACTTCGATAAAAAAACTTAAGATGGCGTTCAAAAAAATTGTTTTAACATACAGGATGACGCAACAAAATCGTTTCGTATTATTTTGTATATTTGCTCGACCAAAGTATTTTATAAATATTACCCCACGGTGTTCTACTTCTGTACCTCTGAGTTTTTGTTTCAAAAAGTTTGACTTCCTGTATTGAGATGCCCTGATCCTTGCAGCACCTAACGCAAACACTCGAATCGAATTAGTGTGACGAGAGAATAGCCACATTCACGTACAGTTTTGGTCAGAACTAATGTCCCTCAATTAAATGTATCTCACATAATTAATCATAATGGTACAATAGGTATACCTATACTTGACGTCATTGGGAAAACTTGGCTCTACCGTTCAATAAAGTAATGGGGTTTGTGTAGTCCTACCAGTTAATAAAAGTGTATCCCCTTTACGGATGTGATAAGATTTGTTCAATCCATGTCAACTTCATCAAGTTTCTCACATTAAACTTACAAAGTATCAATTATTGCATGTTATCAATACAAATATTTAAAGTTACAATAAAATATGTAAGTAAAAAAAGTAAAAATTATATTAGCGTTTTCATAAAGTCACTAGATATAGAAAGTACCGCAATCATCCGCCATTTTTGGGCAAATTTGCTGCCAACTTAAAAAAATTGACAAATAAAATCTGAATAGCTGTCATTTTTTATAACCTAACTTCATAGCACTGTCATGTTTTATAAAAATATATCTCCAAACAGTTGGAACAATCCCTAACATTAAAGTTACTAGAATCTGGTAACTTCCGCCATTTTTGGGCAAAAATCATGCGTTCTCTCTCTAACACACGAGCCCAATGGATTGAGGTACTTTCTATATTTAGTGACTTTACGTTTTCAAATAAGGACGAGACCTCTAGCGGCAATTAAAAAAACTTAAAAGGCTAATTAAGTTTCTGAAATAAGTATATTAAGTGGTACGTTTAGCTTCTCTGTTGCCTTATATTTATAGCTAAATGCATTCAGTATGATTACTCAACCAAATTAATTGAGTAATTGCAATGGCACTTCTAATTCAAGTATGAAGCCTGTCATTTTCAAACTTGGCGGTGATTCTTGTGACGTCATTGAGATAAAACGTCATCTGCGTTTAGTTATAGGCATACCTTGTCTTATTGTACCATGCATGATTAATATATCAGATCTGAGATCTCCTGTGAGTTTTGCGCTTCTTTTCAAAATGAGGAAAGTCCCTAAGATTGAAATGAAATTGAACTAAATCACGGAGGAACTAACATATTAGTACATTACTTCTGACCACGACTATACAACGGAAGTATGTTTTACCAGGATACGTTTTCTAATTTAACACTATACATGTTTAGTGAAAATAGAAAAAATAAGCTTCCTAATGAGTAATGACGAATCAAACGGCCCCCAGAATATTCAAAAAGGTATGTATATATCTAGAATATATACGTGACTCGTAAGATATACTAGGGATATGCGAATAGAAATATCTCAGATATTTTATGGGAATAAACATAAGGATATTCTCCATTTATTCCTTATATCCTTAGAACATGATGCATATATACCACTTCTGAGAATAATCCTACAGAATATTCTCAGAAATAAGAAAGTTAGTGATTTACTCGAAACCTACAAGTCATAAAAAATGTTATTTTACACCATCAACACAATCGTAGCCTTTTTAAACGCGACGTTTGTATTTTTCCTCTCTAGATCTTTTTCATAACCATTGCAGCTTAGGATCTTGAACGAACGGGCAGCATTTAATTGGAAATTTTGACGTATACTGTATGTGTAGGAAAAATGAATACGAGTATGATTAATGGTGTGAGCCAGCTCTGATTTTGAAGATGGCGTCCATCGGCGCCAATAATCGTTGTCAAATAATTACAAAGTAATAAGTGATTTGGTTAATATTACATCAATTTACACATTTTTAAAGTACGCAAGCTGTACACAGAATTATTTTTAATTTATTTGATAGCGTTCACCTTGTACGGGAATATGTTTACACCATTTTTTACAAATCTAACCTCTTAGGCAATTGAATTATTTTTCGTTTTAAAGACTCGCAATAATAGCTAAAGCAAAATGTCTAAAGTCGAATACGATCTTGATACTTCTGGGGGTCTCATGGACGTAAGTTTATCGAAATCGAAACGTGCACAAATTGAGTTTCTTGTGTTGTAGCAAATTCAAGCGCTAATTGCACCTCCAACTGTCGACGAGAAAAGGGAGAGGAACAAGAGGCCGGACCATCCGTACTTTCGCAAACCGGGCAAGGGGCACAATCACGATAGTTGCGATGCGTGCGGCGAAGGCGGCGATTTAATCTGTTGTGACAAGTGCCCGTCGAGTTTCCATCTGATGTGCTAGTATGTCGCCCCCCTTTGCTTGCGAGATTTTAACGCGCGTGCTTTTAGCGATCCCCCCTTGGAAGAGAAGGACATACCGATAGGCGAGTGGCTGTGCCATACGTGCACGTACGCGGCCGAGAAGGCGTCTCCTTCGACATCAAAGTCGCCGGTCACGGTGCCCAGAACGCGAAGCAAGCGGGTGATGTCGACGCCCGAGACCGCTCTTTCGAAACCGGTCAAAAAACCAAAGCCGAACCCCTTCGAGACCCTACTGGAGGCGGCGCACTCGCTCAATCCCAAAGAGTTCGAATTACCGCGAAGTATGAGTCTGCCGTCTTGCTTTCCGGGCACGGATAAATGTGAGTGCTCTGCGGTTGCGCCCGTTAGTTACAATTTACTGTTGTAGTGGAGAAGTCGTTTGTCAGTCGTCGAAATTCGAAGGCGGTTAGACCGCCGCCGGTTGCCTCCAGGCAGCAGACCGCATTTCCAGGTGGAAAGTGCTTCGAGTGTCGACGTACCTGTCGTACCGGGCCTTTGCTAGCGTGCGACTACTGCTCGCTTTACTTTCACTTGGATTGCCTAGATCCTCCCTTGTCGACGCCTCCTTCGGGCCGTTGGCTTTGCCCAAATCATGTTGAACACTTTCTGGTATGTACTCGTTTTTTTCCTAGTGGGAGGAGGGGGTGACGTCACTTGCGGATCAGGCCACATGCTAATACTAAGCGTTCCGGCTTTTTTGTTGCATTGTACAATGGGAAACAATTGAAACAGATCCGTTGGTGACGTCACGCGCGAGGATACGACTTAACGCGAGCTACGAATTCGGCGCATGGCCCTCTGGTGGTGACTTTGACAAGTTGCACTAGTTTCCAAGATCGCCATCAGGGGGGTAAGCGATCTTAAACTGGTCCATGACGGTGACTATGCGAACGGCAATTATTACGCGTTCTCCTCATTGCAGGATTGTAAATTACTGACGTCGGTCTCGGCGTCGGAACGCATCAAACTCTGGGACAAGTTCACCGGTCCCGTCGATCAGGACGCGATCAAGATCGAATTCTTTCGCAAGGTGCACAGGAAGAATCCGCCGTTTCGCGTCAAAGTGCGTTTGCCGCAGCGCGGCAAAATACGGGTACCGCCCATGGTAAAATATCATTACAAAAATCCCGTGGAGCTATTGCCCTGTTTGCGTGACCTGAATCGTTATGATATTGCAGCGCGGCGTCGTCTTTCGAACGAAAGCAAGACCGATCTCGGCGTCTTTGAGAGGTTAGCGTCGCCGGACGTCAAGGAGGAGGACGAGAGATCGACGGGAAAGAGTAATGGGGTGTTCGATATGAGCTGCGAGGGGGACGGATTCGTGCAGGACGCGTGCGAGCACGTTCCGAAGGTGGAGGTCGACGATGAGGTTTTCTTTAAAAAGTGCAAGAAGTCGAAAGCGAGAGGTAAAAAGAGTAAAAGTCTAGATTTTAAGATTGTAAATAAGGTGGAGCCTAGCGAAAATGTGCTCAATGGTTTGGCGAGCGATGAAAGTTGCAATTTTAGCGTTAAGGATGAACCTATGTTTCCTCTCGTGGCGTCAAACATCACAGATGAAGGTTAGTAGCAATTTTTGCTTATATAGTGGGACAACCCATTACTTTCCCAGACTAAAAAAATCTTCTGCCTTAGTCACTTACCCTGTTACCATTCCAATTTGTGCATAAAAGGATGCGAATTTACGAAATGACAATAGAAGGCATAACAGCATAGTATGCTCCTATTTCTTAAACGGCGAGCAACCTTTGGACTTTGAACGGTGAGCAAACTGTGGACTTTGAACGGCAGGCAACTGTTGAACTTTGAACGGCGATCAACATTTGGACTTTGAATAGCGACCAACCTTTGGACTTTGAACACCTCTTTGAGTAAACTGTGTGAACTTTAAACGGCCGGCAACTTTTGGACTTTGAACGGCGACCAACCTTTGGACTTTGAACGGCGAGCAACCTTTGGACATTGAATAGCGTCCAACCTTTGGACTTTGAACACCTCTCTGAACGGTGAGCAAACTGGGTGGACTTTGAACACCTCTTTGAGTAAACTGTCTGAACTATAAACGGCCGGCAATTTTTGTACTTTGAACGACGACCAACCTTTGAACTTTGAACACCTTTTTCAACGGTAAGCAAACTGTGGACTTTGAACAGCGGGCAACTTTTTCGCTCGTGTTCGCCCTGGCAGTTCGTAGTTCACCGAAGATAACGAATAGCAAATTAATACTTTCATTTATGTTGGCGTTCACGTTCCCTTCGAATACGCTGGCGTTCAGAGATGAGCTAAGTTTATGTTCGCAGTTCGGCGGAGTTGGTTAATTGACCAATGGAAAATAATGGCCCGCAAATTAGTGTCAACCTGTCAAAGTTGCAACTTTCATGAACAAACTGTAACTAAAAATACCTTAACCGAAATAAGCTCGCCGTTCGACGCTACAAAGTTTATAAATACAAAATTCATTAGCGCAAACTGCAACGGCGGACGCGAACAGCGAACGTAAAGTTTATAAATCGGTCTAAAGACTTTGAACGGCGAGTAACCTTTGGACTTTGAACAGTGAGCAAACTGTGTGGACTTTAAACGGCCGGCAACTGTTACATTTTGAACGCCGACCAACGTTTGGGCTTTGAGTAAACTGTGTGAACTTTAAACGGGCGGCAATTTTTGGACTTTGAACGGCGACCAACCTTTGGACATTGAATAGCGACCAACCTTTGGACTTTGAACACCTCTCTGAACGGTGAGCAAACTGGGTGGACTTTGAACACCTCTTTGAGTAAACTGTCTGAACTATAAACGGCCGGCAATTTTTGTACTTTGAACGACGGCCAACCTTTGAACTTTGAACACCTTTTTCAACGGTGAGCAAACTGTGGACTTTGAACAGCCGACAACTTTTTCGCCCGCGTTCGCCCTGGCAGTTCGTAGTTCACCGAAGATAACGAATAGCAAATTAATACTTTCATTTATGTTACGCGTTCACGTTCCCTTCGAATACGCTGACTTCAGAGATGAGTTAAGTTTATGTTCGCAGTTCGGCGGAGTTGGTCAATTGACCAATGGAAAATAATGGCCCGCAAATTAGTGTCTAGCTGTCAAAGTTGCAACTTTCATGAACCTTAACCGAAATAAGCTCGCCGTTCGACGTTACAAAGTTTATAAATACAAAATTCATTAGCGCAAACTTCGAACTGCAACGGCGGACGCGAACAGCGCATTTAAAGTTTATAAATCGGTCTAAAGACTTTGAACGGCGAGTAACCTTTGGACTTTGAACAGTGAGCAAACTGTGTGGACTTTGAACGGCCGGCAACTGTTAGATTTTGAACGGCGACCAACCTTTGGACTTTGAACACCTCTTTGTGTAAACTGTGAGAACTTTAAACGGCCGGCAAGTTTTGGACTTTGAACGGCGAGCAACTCTTGGACTTTGAACGGCGACCAACCTTTGGACTTTGAATACCTTTTTGAACGGTGAGCAAACTATGGACTTTGAACAGCCGGCAACTTTAAAGTCCGATTTATAAATTTTTTCGCCCGCGTTCGCCCTGGCAGTTCGTAGTTCACCGGAGATAACGAATAGCAAATTAATACTTTCATTTATGTTGGCGTTCACGTTCCCTTCGAATACGCTGGTTTATGTTCGGAGTTCGCCGTTGATCAATTGACCAATGGAAAATAATGGCCCGCAAATTTGTGTCAACCTGTCAAAGTTGCTCGTTTTGGCGTGTGAAGTGTATTATTATTCTTACGTGTTCCAAATATGCTCATTGATTCATAAGTACTTCACAAAAAATAATTCTGGTCACTTTTAACCGAAATAAGTTCGCCGTTCGACGGTACAAATTTTATAAATACAAAATTCATTAGCGCAAACTCCGAACTGCAACAGCAAACGCCGCCGCGAACGTAAAGTTTATAAATCGGTCTAAAGAATTTGAACGGCGAGCAATCTTTGGACTTTGAATGGCGAGCAACCTTTGGACTTTGAACGGTGGTCATAAATTTAGTATCGCGATTGGGTTGACCAACTTTAACCGATTGTAGTATACCAGTCAGTCCTGTCACAGTTATGGGGAGTGAATGTGTGTGATTCCTATGTATATTTCGCGCAGGGTACGGGCATGCAACTGTGACTACTTATAGTTTATATAAAATGGCAAAAATGGAATGCAAGTGCGCACAGAATCATCTTTTCTCTCTCCTTTCCCTCTCCCGAATGAGTTGTCTTACGATTTCAACTGCTGTGTTGAATTACCGCGAGTACAGCGAAATTCCTCCGTTGCAGTTAGTCAACAGTTAACGCAGCTGGACGACCGGTTACTAAAGTTACTAGCCTATCAGCGAATACAGGAGGTGCTATCGCAAACCGATCCCTCGAATTGTTATTTCACTTCGTACTTCTCGCAATCGGTAAACAAACTGTTCGATCCCCCCTTGCAGAGCGAATTTTTAACGACGGAGGACATCGAGAGGATACTGCGAGTGTTTTCGATACCGAACCGACCGGCGCACAAGACGAACTCGAAACTGCGCGCGCACGCCATGCTGTGTCCGGTCGTTTCGAAGCACTTCTACAACATCCGAACGTCGGAGGTCGCGTCGGCGAACGTGAGGCACGACGGTAGCTTCCTGGGGCATCGGCCGACCGTCTCTGCCCGGTTTCCGGAGGCAGTCGCGATGCGGCTTAGGATACTGTCGATCGGACGAGGTGCCACTAACGATGTTCAATTAGACAATTTCGGTCACTGCAACTACATATCGCCCAAGCACGCCGTCGTATTTTTCGACGAGGTGAGTACGACCCGTCCCGTTACGCGTGTACCTGCACGCTTTCTCGTAGGTAAATCAACAGTACGAGCTCCTCAATTACTCGTGCTACGGCACGTATGTCAACAATGTGCTTTACTCCAACGACGAAACAAAGAAATACGCAAAAAAAGAGGAGAAAAAGCCCTGCTTAGAGGAACAAGTGCGCGCGATCGTCGACAAGAAACGCCAAATTTGCTCAACGAATTCCTCGAAGGATATACACATAGTCGGCGATTCGGTGGCGCAGTCCGAGTGCTCTTGCGCGGCCACAAGTTACGAGACAATTTTGGCCGGGTGGGAGGGCTCCGCCGTAATAAATCATGGCACATTGTTACGTTTTGGATGTGTTAGTTTTGTTTTCTCAATTGTTGACTGTGCGTCTGTATAAAGCGTGGGAAATAATGTAAATTGATTTAAAAAAAATTTATTATATACAATTTGTAAATATACATTTTTCTATTGGTATTTGTTTAAATATTTTCAGGGCCAAAATAGTAAATTGGAGGGAATCGATGGGACCAATCCAATGTTGCAACTGCAGACGAAGGTGTCATCGAGCTAGTCACTGCCAATTGCAGCGACCCATAGGCCAAAGTTCTACCACAATTTATGTGGAAGGTTTTGGCATGTATTATTTCAACTGTATCATAAATAACGAGCAATCGAAAGCCCCGGCTGTGACACTGGATGGACTTAATATCGACTACTCTCATGATTCGAGGATTTGATTGCTTGCTATACTTTTGTACAAGAGGGATGTTGAGAGAGTATCGACATTACAGAAGTCGATCTTCCTAATCGAAGGCGCAATAAACAGACGAATGCGATAAGCGATGGTTGCTGTTTTCGGTAGCGTGTTGGCCCGTTAAACGACGAAGGCGATAATGACGAAAGCTTTTTTCACAGCGTTGTACAATTAAGTCCGGCTACTTTTTAACACACACGCTCATTATTGATGGTTGAATGACATCTTGTTTTCGATTCGATTATTGTTCGACAGGGACGGGCGAATTAGTTATATACACGGCTTGCTAACGATATTTTCTTTGAGCACAAGTTACTTGGTCGGGACAGCCCATGCGTGGCCGAAATCCTTGATCATCAGGTGAGCGTTATTTTCACATTAACCTTTTGGTGTGAACCTATTCGTAACCACTAAAAAAGCCCTATAATTTTGGCCAGAAAAGTACGATTTTCAATTTTTGGGTTATTTGGGTTCTAGAGATCAAAATCTAAAGGAAGACCGTATTACAATGAAAAAAAACCACAAAAACTACTCTAATTTTTGCTAGAAGAGTAGGATTTTTAATTTTCTGGGCGACTTATATTCTGCAGCTGAAAATCTAAAAGATTTGCCGATATGCGTTAAGTCCGCTTCGGCACGTGAAAAATTGTAGGTGAAAGACCGTATTACAATGAAAAAAACCACAAAAAGTCCTATAATTTTTAGCTAGAATGGTAGGATTTTTAATTTTCTGGGCGACTTGTATTCTACAGGTCAAAATCTAAAAGATATACAGATATACGTTAACATCGCTTCGGCACGTGAAAAATTATATGTGAAAGACCGTATTACAGTGAAAAAAACGACTATAATTTTTGCTAGAAAAGTAGGATTTTGAATTTTCTGGGCGACTTGTATTCTACAGGTGAAAATCTAAAAGAATTGCCGATATACGTTAACATCGCCTCGGCACGTGAAAAATTATAAGTGAAAGACCGTATTACAATGAAAAAAAACACAAAAAGTCCTATAATTTTTCCTAGAAGAGTAGGATTTTCAATTTTCTGGGCGACTTGTATTCTGCAGCAGAAAATCTAAAAGATTTGCCGATATACGTTAAGTCCGTTTCGGCACGTGAAAAATTATAGGTGAAAGATCGTATTACAATGAAAAAAACCACAAAAAGTTCTATAATTTTTGCTAGAAGAGTAGGATTTTCAATTTTCTGGGCGACTTGTATTCTGCAGCAGAAAATCTAAAAGATTTGCCGATATACGTTAAGATCGCTTCGGCACGTGAAAAATTATAGGGGAAAGACCGTATTACAATGAAAAAAAACCACAAAAAGTCCTATAATTTTTGCTAGAAGAGTAGGATTTTCAATTTTCTGGGCGACTTGTATTCTACAGGTGAAAATCTAAAAGAATTGCCGGTATACGTTAAGATCGCTTCGGCACGTGAAAAATTATAGGTGAAAGACCGTATTACAATGAAAAAAATCACAAAAGTCCCATAATTTTTGCTAGAAGAGTAGGATTTTCAATTTTCTGGGCGACTTGTATTCTACAGGTGAAAATCTAAAAGAATTGCCGATATACGTTAACATCGCCTCGGCACGTGAAAAATTATAAGTGAAAGACCGTATTACAATGAAAAAAAACACAAAAAGTTCTATAATTTTTGCTAGAAGAGTAGGATTTTCAATTTTCTGGGTGACTTGTATTCTACAGGTGAAAATCTAAAAGATTTGCCGATATACGTTAAGTCCGCTTCGGCACGTGAAAAATTATAGATGAAAGATCGTATTACAATGAAAAAAACCACAAAAAGTCCCATAATATTTCCTAGAAGAGTAGGATTTTCAATTTTCTGGGCGACTTGTATTCTACAGGTGAAAATCTAAAAGAATTGCCGATATACGTTAACATCGCCTCGGCACGTGAAAAATTATAAGTGAAAGACCGTATTACAATGAAAAAAAACACAAAAAGTTCTATAATTTTTGCTAGAAGAGTAGGATTTTCAATTTTCTGGGTGACTTGTATTCTACAGGTGAAAATCTAAAAGATTTGCCGATATACGTTAAGTCCGCTTCGGCACGTGAAAAATTATAGATGAAAGATCGTATTACAATGAAAAAAACCACAAAAAGTCCCATAATATTTCCTAGAAGAGTAGGATTTTCAATTTTCTGGGCGACTTGTATTCTACAGCGGTGAATTATAGGGGAAAGACCGTATTACAATGAAAAAAAACCACAAAAAGTCCTATAATTTTTGGTAGAAGAGTAGGATTTTCAATTTTCTAGGCGATGTGTACTCTACAGGTGAAAATCTAAAAGAATTGCCGGTATACGTTAAGATCGCTTCGGCACGTGAAAAATTATAGGTGAAAGACCGTATTACAATGAAAAAAACCACAAAATGTCCTATAATTTCTGCTAATAGAGTAGGATTTTCAATTTTCTGGGCGACTTGTATTCTACAGGTGGAAATCTAAAACAATTGCCGATATACGTTAAGATCGCTTCGGCACGTGAAAAATTATAGGTGAAAGACCGTATTACAATGGAAAAAATCACAAAAGTCCCATAATTTTTGCTAGAAGAGTAGGATTTTCAATTTTCTGGGCGACTTGTATTCTACAGGTGAAAATCTAAAAGAATTGCCATATACGTTAACATCGCTTCGGCACGTAAAAAATTATAGGTGAAAGACCGTATTACAATGGAAAAAAAACACAAAAAGTCCCATAATTTTTGCTAGAAGGGTAGGATTTTCAATTTTCTGGGCGACTTGTATTCTACAGGTGAAAATCTAAAAGATTTGCCGATATACGTTAAGTCCGGTTCGGCACATGAAAAATTATAGGTGAAAGACCATATTACAATGAAAAAACCACAAAAAGTCCTATAATTTTTGCTAGAAGAGTAGGATTTTCAATTTTCTGAGCGACTTGTATTCTACAGGTGAAAATCTAAAAGATTTGCCGATATACCTTAAGATCGCTTCGGCACGTGAAAAATTATAGGTGAAAGACCGTATTACAATGAAAAAAACCACAAAAAGTTCTATAATTTTTGCTAAAAGAGTAGGATTTTCAATTTTCTGGGCGACTTGTATTCTACAGGTGAAAATCTAATAGAATTGCCGGTATACGTTAAGATCGCTTCGGAACGTGAAAAATTATAGGGGAAAGACCGTATAACAACGAAAAAAACCACAAAAAGCCCATAATTTTTGCTAGAAGAGTAGGATTTTGAATTTTCTGGGCGACTTGTATTCTACAGCTGAAAATGTAAAAGATTTGCCGATATTCGTTAAGATCGCTTCGGCACGTGAAAAGCTATAGGTGAAAAACCGTATAATGGAAAAAAACCCACAAAAAGTGCTATAGTTTTTGCTAGAAAAGTACAATTTTCTGGGCGACTTCGAGTTCAAGGCATAACTGCATTGTGTTTTGGGGTTAACTTCCTTTGTATTATCAGTCTGTAAATGTTGTCTCAGTGTACTAACCTTTAACTTTGGTTACAAGGGTCCTGGTGGGGAATGTCTAATGCTACACCCCTTAGACCATACAGTACAGCGTTCTAAGCTCCGCCCACAACAAAGGCAATTAAAGAAATGAACAACTGCGGTGATGAACATGTTTTTATTTGTGCTTGTTTAAAAAGTTCAGACACACAGCTAGAAACTCCTTTGGTTTCTCAACGTGCACTATGTGCCCGGCTCCTTCAATCACACGAAACTCGGCCTGAGGAAATAGTTTCAGTATTTCTGCGTGGTGCGACTTGCTGAAAAAGAGTAACGGTACATCAGATGCCTATCCACTACCTTACGTTAGGGACCAGAAAATCAAATAATGTCATACTTACAGAACAAAGTTGGACAAGCCTCCCGACACAAACAGCGCAGGTTTCTCAAATCTCAACGGACTCATATTGGGAAAGACCGCCAGACTACTCGCGAAGCTTTCCAACAGCACTTGAGTATTAAATCTCCACCTCAAACTGCCCTCGTTAAATCTTTGCAACGCTCTTTGCAAGTGCTCACCTTCCGTGATTGTCCTTCATCAGATTAGTGTCGACAATAAAATTAACGTAAGCCTTATTGGTAATGGACTTGAGTAACATTCTCTTTAGGTCACGTTTTGCCTCAATTATCGACGCGTCCTTTGGCAATGGGATTGCTGCAATTGCCTCTAACAGTCCCGGTACCAATTTTAAGAATGGACTTGGTCCGACAGGCGACACATCGACTATTACCAGCTTCTCTACAAAATCTGGCTAAAATTTCATTATGGCCGAAGGTGAAGGGTAATCGTACATATTTTAGAGCGAAGTACATCATCGCCCGCCCGCCCATGCAATGCCCTATCAGTGTGGATCTTTTAATGCCCAACTTGGACACGAACCTCTTGATATCCTCCGCCATTAGAGGGTACGTGTGCTCGGAAGACTGCGGACTGGCGCCATGGTTTCGGGCGTCCACCGAAATTACGGCACGTGGAGGATCGGTTTGCTTCCGCAACAGAGCGCAAAGACTCCTCCAATTTGTGCGCGCCCCTAGCAGACCGTGCATTACCAACACCGGCGCCGTAGTCTCCTTTACATCGTTAAATACATCGAAAGACATCTCGATTGTTTCATCACTTCTTGTGCTGATTTGTTTAAAGAACAGCCGAAATATTTGCACTAATTTCGTGTGTGCAACTGCCATGCTGATTGGACGTAGGTACGTCAATGTCAGGATTCATTTGTCAAAAATCGAATCTCTGATAATTCGTTACCGACAAGTGGTTATTCAAAACGAATTGTATTAGGAGCACAGATTCCTTGTAAATTGAACTGCTGATTCGTGTGCTGCACCAGTAGTTCCGTTATTAGGATGGGGGTCTTTGCATTAGAAGCTATTTACATTGGTAGTGCTATGGTAGCAGGATCATAGAAACGTGAGAAATTCGGATAACCCCTGCGACTGGGTAAATTCTTCAAACAGGTCAAATTACAACTTTCGTGTGTTCCTGGTATAAGACTTCCGGAGTATAACCTTCCTTTTTTACCAAAAATCGACTACACCAAAATTTCTCGGGAAAACACTTTTTCTTATTAATTTGGGTGCGTAGAATCCAAATCAATTCGTACTTTTTCGATCAGACTTCTCAATCAAAAGTTATAGACTAGAAACCAATTTCGAAAGAAAATTCAAAGGGCTGTAACTTTTGAACTAGTAGCCCAATCTTGGAACTGTTTGAAATTATGGATTCTACAGGCCACATTCTATAAGAAAATTTTTTTCCGGGTCGATCTGAGTCAATTTTTTTTTCGGGGCTCAAAAAAAGGCAGTGTATAACCTTCCTTTTTTACCAAAAATCGACTACACCAAAATTTCTCGGGAAAACACTTTTTCTTATTAATTTTGGTGCGTAGAATCCAAAACAATTCGTACTTTTTCGATCAGACTTCTCAATCAAAAGTTATAGACTAGAAACCAATTTCGAAAGAAAATTCAAAGGGCTGTAACTTTTGAACTAGTAGCCCAATCTTGGAACTGTTTGAAATTATGGATTCTACAGGCCACATTCTATAAGTAAATTTTTTTTCCGGGTCGATCTGAGACAATTTTTTTTTCGGGGCTCAAAAAAAGGCAGTGTATAACCTTCCTTTTTTACCAAAAATCGACTACACCAAAATTTCTCGGGAAAACACTTTTTCTTATTAATTTTGGTGCGTAGAATCCAAAACAATTCGTACTTTTTCGATCAGACTTCTCAATCAAAAGTTATAGACTAGAAACCAATTTCGAAAAAAATTCAAAGGGCTGTAACTTTTGAACTAGTAGCCCAATCTTGGAACTGTTTGAAATTATGGATTCTAAAGGCCACATTCTATAGGAAATTTTTTTTCCGGGTGGATCTGAGACAATTTTTTTTTTCGGGGCTCAAAAAAAGGCAGTGTATAACCTTCCTTTTTTACCAAAAATCGACTACACCAAAATTTCTCGGGAAAACACTTTTTCTTATTAATTTTGGGTGCGTAGAATCCAAAACAATTCGTACTTTTTCGATCAGACTTCTCAATCAAAAGTTATAGACTAGAAACCAATTTCGAAAAAAAATTCAAAGGGCTGTAACTTTTGAACTAGTAGCCCAATCTTGGAACTGTTTGAAATTATGGATTCTACAGGCCACATTCTATAAGAAAATTTTTTTCCGGGTCGATCTGAGACAATTTTTTTTCGGGGCTCAAAAAAAGGCAGTGTATAACCTTCCTTTTTTACCAAAAATCGACTACACCAAAATTTCTCGGGAAAACACTTTTTCTTATTAAGTTGGGTGCGTAGAATCCAAATCAATTCGTACTTTTTCGATCAGACTTCTCAATCAAAAGTTATAGACTAGAAACCAATTTCGAAAAAAAATTCAAAGGGCTGTAACTTTTGAACTAGTAGCCCAATCTTGGAACTGTTTGAAATTATGGATTCTACAGGCCACATTCTATAAGAAAATTTTTTTCCGTGTCGATCTGAGACAATTTTTTTTTCGGGGCTCAAAAAAAGGCAGTGTATAACCTTCCTTTTTTACCAAAAATCGACTACACCAAAATTTCTCGGGAAAACACTTTTTCTTATTAATTTTGGTGCGTAGAATCCAAACAATTCGTACTTTTTCGATCAGACTTCTCAATCAAAAGTTATAGACTAGAAACCAATTTCGAAAAAAAATTCAAAGGGCTGTAACTTTTGAACTAGTAGCCCAATCTTGGAACGTTTGAAATTATGGATTCTACAGGCCACATTCTATAAGAAAATTTTTTTTCCGGTCGATCTGAGACAATTTTTTTTCGGGGCTCAAAAAAAGGCAGTGTATAACCTTCCTTTTTTACCAAAAATCGACTACACCAAAATTTCTCGGGAAAACACTTTTGCTTATTAATTTGGGTTGCGTAGAATCCAAATCAATTCGTACTTT